TCAACTTCCTTTTCTGCCAGGTCTCATTGTTTTCAGTCAGAAATGCTTGTGAGCAAAGTCCTTTGATGCCATAGCTTAGATCTGCATGGTGCTCAAAGGGTTACACATTGCCATATAACCCCCTGTGCACTTGGAGCTGTGCAGCCTTGCACTGAGGAAACCTGAGGCTCAGAGAGGCTAACTGGTGAATGTCACACAGCTGACAGCATCTGGACCAGACTCCAGGTTTTCTGACTCCTGTTCCAGTATTCTTTCCATCGGATACTACAGGCTTTGTGTGATTTTTGTTTAAATTATACTTCAGTCTTGGAAAGCCAGGATGGGCAGGATTTATATTCCTCTTTGTTGAGCTGGAAAATTGAATAACACATTCACACAGAAAAACTGGCACTAGAAGATAGGTCTTCTTGTCTGCTGGGATCTGTGTTTTAGATTAAAACCAACTTGGACACGGGGTGCTCCAAGCAGCCACAGGATGGTGTAGGTGGGGGAACAATGACCAGGGAAAACCAGAAACTGCCTCAGGGTACCGCCTAGTTTTCAAACAGAAAAGCACAACTTCCTGTGCCTCAGTTTCCTCTTTCAATAGTGAAGGGGCTGGGGGAAGGGAGGAGAAGAGGGAGTTATTGTTTAGTAGGTACAGAGTTCCTGTTTGGAATGACGAAAACATTCTGGAAATGGACAGTGATGACAGTTGCACAACACTGCGAAGGTACTTAATGCTGCTGAATCACACGCTTAAAAATGGTTAAAATGGTAAATTTTATGTTATGTATACTTTACTACAATACCAAATTAAAAAATAAATGAAGGGATGGGGCTAACTAAAGATTTCCAACATTCTATTGACTCTGAAAGTCTATGATTCTTACCCCGATTGGAAATTTCCTCCAAAATTAGCTTCAACTTTCCAGGTGCTGTTTCTCTTTCACCTTCCGGAACCCTCTTCCACAAGATGCCAACCCTGTTCTTAACTCCCTGAGCTGGGTACGACCAAGGGCAACGTTTATACTTAGTCTGTGCTGTGGATGAGGCCAGCAGTGTGTTGACGGCTGGAGCGGAGATCTAGTCTTTCTGGAGTCATGATAACCTCTTACTCTGATGGACTGACCTTCTCTGCTGAAAGTGGTATTGGGCTTTTAAAAGATTAAAATGCATGTAATTAATTGGGCTTGATATAAATGCTGGGCTGAGAATCCTTATCCTTGGAGACAAAGGCCCCAGTCTGGGAGGCTGGTTTAGGCCTTTCGACTCCCTTGTGTGAACTAGGCAGGTGGCAATACTGGGGCTGGGGGGCAGGTGCAGAAATGCAAGCACTGACACAGTCCTTAGATGACATCTCAGAGGTGGTATGGATATGGGGACCTGCCCAGCCTGGGTCCTGAGGGAAATCCAGTAGAGCCCAGGAAGTATCCATGCTTCTTAGAGATGGGCATTGGCTAAAAGAGGGCAGATGCTGACCCCGGACACTAAAGACCTGGCTCCAGCCTGAGTGCCAGCACATACCCTGGGTGGGGCATGGGTGGGACTGAGGAAGCCAGCAGGTGGGCATGTGGTTCCCAGCCTACCACCATGGTAAAAGGCAATCAGCAGTCTAAGCTGTCCTGGAAAAAATGAGTTAATATTAACTTGTTCCCAAGGCACCCTAGTGTTTGATTTTCCGCTTGCTTTGGCTCTTTTTCCATGTGGAAAATATTTCTCTTACATATAATGACCCCTTTCATTCCCACTCCCAAAGTTTATGAGTGCAGAGTAAAGAAGTAAGCTGGACCCCGGACAGACACTTGTCCGTCTTAGAACAGTTCTCCATGGGGTTTGGTTGCAGATCGGCAGGAGGCTAGGCCACAAGGGGACTGCATAGACTAAGAGCCAATCTTGCAGTAGCTAGGGGTGTGGCTGGTGGTAGCAGGAGTGGGGAGTGGGGGCTGTACTTGAGAATATTCACAAGCTGGGGAAGGAAGAGGATGTAAACATTAGAGCAGAGTGACCTCCCTTTACCTAATTGAGTGTTTTTGGAAAGCTTTGTAAATCAGATTCCTAGGATTCAAGGTGCTTTGTTTCCCTCTAAATCAGCATTCAAGGATGTACCTGTAACTCTCCCCCAAATAGTGGCACATATGCCAGCCCTGAGGGTAGCAAGCAGCGTGTAAATAAAAACCCCAGGAACGTGCCCTTAAAGGAATCCTTCAGTCCACCAGTTGAGAAAGAGGAGAGAATATTTTGGTACCACCACCCCATGGAGGCAGGAGATGACAGCTAGGACTGGAATGGACATGCCGGCCTCAGGTCAAGGGTGATCAGCAGGGCAGGGCTTAACATCTGGAGACCTTGCACAGAGCAGACACACAGGCCATGGTGCCAGACGTCAGCTGGGTTCCAGGTTCCAGGAACAGAGGCTCCCTCACAGGCCAGGGGAGTTGCAGCTCAGCTCACTAAGAGCCCAGGACACACTCCCAAAGAGGCAACACCTACTGCAGCTTCAAGTTCAGAAGACAAGGGTACGTTTGGGGGCCACGCTGGATCTGGGAACAATGCCCCAAAGGATCAATTTATCAGCGGGAGGCCTTCAAGAGGTGGCCGGCCACCTGTGTTTCAAGTTGGGTCTTTAAGCTCTAGCTCTCTTCAGTGTGCACTCCCGGCCGGTTTCTTCCTGTGCAATGTACGTGGCAGTAAAGTTCTACTTATATATCCCTTGAGAAAATCCTCAACTCATGTTGAACAGGTTGACTTCCTGTATCATATTTGTTATTTGTGTCTGGAAATACTAAACGAGCAGTGCCTCTGTACATGGACTCAGAGTTCATTCAAGCTAGCAACACATTCATAAGAGCTCACTGAAGCTTAGAATTGGCCACATGGAATATACAAGGGCTGCATACACCCTTACTACAGAACCTTGGATTAACCAGAATATTTGCTACTTCCAACTACATACCCACTTCAGGGTTCCAGTTAATTGAAATTTCTGCCTAAAGGAGACCTTGTGCCTCAACTACTGTACTTGAAAACTTTTTGGACATACATCAACACAATTTTTGGCTTTCCTCTGTTCAGCAAGAACATTCTAATGTCTTTGCTTACATACCCCACCGCATCTCCTGGGGACCCATCTCACTTAGCCCACGGACTACAAGCCTTGGATGAATAAGAACCTTAACAATGTGCTCACAAGGCAGGGCTAAGATGTGTGTGGTGTGTATGGGCATGCATGCGTGCTTTTTCTTATCTAAACGCAGAATGGAGCATCTGATTACATCAGTTAAATTTCTCAGTGTGTGTTGCTTGGCTGGTCACTGGTCCTATATCCCTTTATGCCCACCTCTTACTTTAGAGAGTGGGAAAGTCATTCTTCTCCCCCATGTCCATGAGAGCTGGACAAGGTCCCAAATTGTCTTCTGGAACACAGAAACATGGTTTTCCCCCTACCTCTGTCTGGCCTTCCTCTACTTGCAGCTGACATCTTCAGTACATGCCAGCAACACTTAGGCCTGGAGATACAAGTGCCAACAGGCATCTACAAGCTGACAGGTGTGGGCTCCACGGGAGCAGGTGCCTATCCTATGAAATGCAAGGAAAGCAGAGCCAGAAATTTTCTCTGGCTTCCTCATTTTCTAAGATACATTTATGCTACAAATGCCATATCCACTTCCTCCCACAGTGGAGTACTGTATTGACCCACACCTGCCAGATTTAGCTCTGTGGCAGACCCACCTCCACAGGGGACTATTTTATCCTGGCAGAACTCCTGTTTTCAACCACTTGCCTCTGGCCCAATTCAACTCAGCTGGCTCCTTCCACAGCTGACTTGTTAGGCCTCATAGTCTCTCTCGGGTTTTGTGGTAGTTGTCATAATATGGTGGAGAACTGCTTTGGGATTAGGTCAAATTAGAATAAGAATAATAAAAGTCCATCTAGTTAAGTGAAAAGTTTAGGGCTTATACAAATAAAAATGTTTTTTGTTTTTTTTTAAATAGTCTCTATTTTGCACTTAGAGGAAATTTCTAAATATTTATCTGTTACTGGGACAGAGGCACAGATTTGGAAAAAAATATTACAATTTATTCTGAAAGATGGAGTGGCAAGGAAAGCCAGCTCTGTGTTTGCTCCAATTCTCAAGGGTTTTTAAATTTATGATGGTTGTTGCTCGGTGGCAAACCATGTAGGAGTCATGTTTCTAGAACCCAGTAGACAAGAAGGAGCTGGAAGTGGATTGGATGTTCTTATTGGTAGAGATGCTGGTTCCACTCCCACATGCCTGCAGACCTGGAGTGTGAGAAAGGTCTCCTGTGCACTGTTTCAGTCTCACCATCTCTAGAGAGGCCTCTGCCAAAGCTATGGGAGGAAGGCTGTCCCCAGGGCTTTTCCTGCACACGGTGGGAACAGCCACTGCCCATGAGCACTGGGGACTGGGCAAGGTGTGCTCTGGAGTTGCTCCAGTCCCATCTCACTAGGTGCCAGGTCACCCACAAAACCATACTTAATGCATGATTTTGTTGGAGCATTTAGGGAAGAATAGATCCCAGTAGAAGAAGAATATGAAGAGCATAAGGGGAGAAAGAAAAAGAGGAAAAAGGAAGGAAGGGAAGACAAAAGAGGGAGAAACCATGCACTAAACGGATTCTTGTCTTTTAGCTGGGAACCACCACTATTAATAGTGCTGTTTTCCATGAAAAAACGTGTTCCAAGTTTCAAATAATGAAGTTGGATTTTTTTTTTTTACATAAAACCAAATGGCTCCCAAAGAAGAAAACATTAAGCAAGCATTCAAGAGAACTACAAGTTTTTGTTTTTAAAAACATACCTACGTAGAATTTTCTACCAAAATTGAGCTGAATTAAGTTGTTTTGTTTGTTTTCCTTTAGTTGGGATGGGACAGCCAGGGATGCTCTAATATCCCAATTTATCCTTGAATGGCTGGTTGCTTTAGCGAGGTCACTGTTACAGAACACATTTAAAAAGGCAATCATTGTAGGAAACAGGACAACAATAGCTGCTTCTACCTCCATGCTAGTATTAGGGTCAAGATCATCACATTCTGACTCCTCGGAACTGTTCGTCTCCTTGATTGGCAGCATGAGGAAGGGGAAGAAAGAGAACACAGTTAGAACACGGTAGCTCTTGTGAGAGAGACAGGAGAACTTCAGGGAAGCACGGGCAATGGGAAATTGGGCAGAGAAAAAACCAGGTGCTTCTAGGCAGGGGTGCAAATCACCACGGGCAGCAGCATGCTGTGTTCAGGGAGAGTGGGCTGGGACGTGTACACTGCTTATCTCATGGGAAACAGCGACAAAGCAACCGAATGAAGCATGAGCGCTGCAGAATCAGACTGCTGTCTTCTGTGAGGCTGGACTTCCCAGATGAGGGTGAAGGAGGGAGGACAATTTCTTTTCCCCAAGAAGGACATTAGCAAGGGTTTCAGTTGTTCTTACTTTGCTCAGGAAGGAAACCAAAGTGCCAGGTAGATAATCATACATTATAACAAAATTAAATAATTAGTGCCTTATTTCCACTGTCCAGAGGCAGGTCTTTTTCAGAGAGCCCAACTTAAAGAAAGCAGATGATATTGTTTCAAGAAGGGAAAAAACAAGTGTCTGCCAAGCTTAGAATCAGTGAGTTCAAAGCAATAGATGGATTATTATAAAGATATAACTTGGGCTTCACCAATGTGCCTCCCTACCATGCCTGTGCATAGAGAGAGGCAAGTAACATGGCCTAAAGTTGATGTTGTCTGAACTCTGGGGAAAAGAAATGAAACTTTACCAAGGACACAGTGCCCTTAAGTTCCCCAGTCCTTCACAGGGCACCCCTAATCCCTTTAACCTGCATGTATTCTCAAAACCCAGGATACTAAATGGGCAGCTCTGAGAAATTTAATATGAATCAAGCATCTTGCATTTCTAAGAGGATACTGCAGATAATTTTGCTGTAAAATATCTGCACAGTATAAAGAGAAAGGTATAAAAGAAAAAAAAAAGAGGTACTTACTTGAATTGAAGTTGCCAGGAGAAATAAAAAATAAAAAATAAATTGATCTTGCATGCAAAATCCTGCTAAACTACTTCCCCTCTGGTCCCTGCACTGGGAAAAAAAAATCCCCATCCACCCACATTGCCTTGTGAGAATGCTGCAGGGTGGGAGTAGATGAGAGGTGGGGGACACAGCTCTGGAATACCTTACTCACTTTAACAGAGACTTTGTTGCCCAGAATATCCTTGGGTTTACGAGGCCCTGTGGCTTCATTTTTACCCGTGTTCTCCACTTCTGCCCGCTTTCTCATGCGTAGAGTATGCCATGAACATGACTTCCTGTTGTACCAAAAAATGCACCAATCAAAATGGCAGGTCAGGGCAGAGTGAGGTGTGGGCGGGCTCACTACCCTCGGGTAGTCAGCAGTGAGGTGGTCCAGTCAAGCCCTGGCTTCAGAGGCCCCAAACCTGCGCACCAGCTCCCGTGGTGGCTGGAGGCTGACCTCACCTCCAACTGGACGTGAGCGAGGACGAACTCTGACCCCTCCTGACAGATGTGCAAAGTTGATGTGCAGCATTTGAAGAAAATATGAGTGTGGAGGTTTATAAAATCATATTGATGATGCCTTACAGGACTGGGGAATTTCCCTGGTGAAGGGCATGGTGGACGGGGGAGAAACGGGGGTGAAGGGCACAATGTAAGGCAAAGGAAGTATATTCTGTAGTTCCTAAGCCTCTGGCACTTTCTCAGGAGCAGATATAAAGACTCTAAGGGATGATTTTGAGGTTCCCACCTCATTATCTGTGTTTGGGCACAGCCACTCCCAAACACTGTAGGACAGGATTTTCTGGGGCGTTTGACTCAACAAACACTCTTTACCTGGATATTTTAGCGCAAAGGGTTTCTCGGTCTATGTCTTCTACACCAGCCAGTGTTTGTGAATATAGTGCTCTGTCAGGCACTACGAAGGTGCTAGGGTTGGCCCTGTTGGAACAAGACCAATACGTGCTCCCCGGGGGGTGAGAGAGGCAATGGCTTCCATTCCATCCTGACTTCTTTATTCCCACAAGGGGTTTGGCAGCTACTTCTTCACAGACCCATAAAGAGAATCCCAGAGCAGAGCTCTTGAGTTCCGCATATATTGGGACTCAAAGACAAAGACACCAAAAGAAGTCACGAACAGCATCAGTGACCCTGAGCAGGCATCCTCAACTTCGGATGTGTCACAGGGTTTGGATGAAGTTCCAGTCATCGTCTGGAATAAGTGAGGCTGGAGACTGGCTTCCCTTCAGTGTCTGCTTGTCAAGTGTAGGCCTGTACAGACAAGGCTCCATGAAAAGGGCCTTTATTAGGGAAGAGAGGCATATGAGATTTAGGAAGGAGGAAGATGCTCCAAAATATATAGCATCTCCTCCACGACACTCCACACGTCAGGATTTTTAGGATATCCTAAGGAAGTTGTTCCCAAAATACTTATCACCTAACACACAGGCTCAACAATGAATCTTCAAGGTAGAAAAAAGCATTTGGAGTCATGTTCTTGAATCTTTTGGGAGAGTGGCCTCCTTCAAAAGGCCAGACCTTGTCTTGAACCTCCTGACTGGGCAGGCTCTCTAGGATGCCGTCACACCAGCACCTTGCTCCAACTGTTGCATCTAAAGGAGAGCTGTCATGGAAGTTAACCTTAGATGATACACCTTGTGATCTTCAGACTTTTATCTCATATCTTTACCCCCAGATACATGCCCTGGCTTCTTCTGAGAACATCTTGAGTCAAGGAGGTCACTGCTGAAAAAACTCCCAGGGCAGACAGCACAGAGGGTATGTGTGCGTGTGTGCAGATGTGTGTGCCTATGTTTATTACAACCCTCTGTACTATTCAGTATGCTTGATGAGAAAGTAGAAATGTTAAAAATAATGTTCAGAAGGAAGGCTCAGTAGTACAAGTGGCAGGACAGGCTCAATTTCATCTTCTTCCCAGAAGAACTCATTATCATGGTTTGGGGAGCTTCCATCTCTTGGCCACAAACCTGGGGACCGATGTGGACACAGAGTTCCAGTGACGTTTCTGCTGTAGGCACCACAACCAATTCTGACCCCTGTGGTCATAGAGGGCCAAGGGGAGGGTATGGTGAATGTCCTTCACTGATAAATACAGCCACTATTGGTCACTTGCTCTCCTCCACCCCCACCAACCCTTGTGCAAGAGCGGCTGACAAGGAACCACAATGACCACTTTGCATTTCAATCTGTTCTCTTTTGCCCAGCCTGTCACCCCTCCTCCCTTCTCTCCCAGGGAAGGTAAGAATAAGTGACCAACAGACCCAAATGTGGAGAGGAAGCAGTGCTTGGTGCCTGGATAATAAGAGTATGAATCATTACGAGTTAGCTCTGCAAGGCCCTTGATTAAGAACTTCAGTGCTTTGAGGGCCTTTATTCCCCAGGCTTCCTAAAAAGTACCAAAAACAAAGCACCAACCTCGAGAGAGGACCAAAGCACCGCAGTTCTGCTGGTGCTGCCGCTCAGATATCGTGGGAGCCCCTCATGCCCTCCCACGGACAGCCACGCGGCACAGAAAGCAGAAGGGGACGGAAGCCAGGCGCTGCCTGCTGCTCTAGTCAATAATGCACGGCAGGGCCTCAGGGGTGCCCAGTCGCGGGGAACCCACTGGACGGCGTCTAATCTGCATCATTCCTCACCCAGAGGTTAGAGGAAACGAATAGGGGCTACAGTGTAGAAGGGAAGGCTAGGGTCGGAGCTTTAGCAACAAAGGTATGTTTTGTGTAGGAAAAAGCTGCCAGTGCATTCAACCAACTCCTAAAATACAGAAAAGGAAGGCGGGGTGGGGGAAGAAGAATCGTTTGCACATTTAAAAGTCCAAGAATAGTGAAATGGGGGAAAAAGGGTCAACTAGTCTTTAGCTTCATTAAAACATGCTCATGGTGAAAATTTATTTTACATATTTAAAATGGTACATTTAAAATTATTAGTTACATTACAGGTACAATGATGAACATTGTGACTCTCCATTATATTGCACAACCTGACTTCATCCATATGGGTTTCTTTAAATAGTGCAAAATACTTTATACAGGAATGTGTTTGGAAGGGTCTTCGCAACCAAAATAAGGAAAAGAAATATCTTACAAATTACCATGAACATATATTAAAGTGACAGGGGAGGGCAGAAATTAAAAAAAAAAAAACAAAAACCAAAAAACTGTTACAATCTGTACAGACGAATTGCCACAGACAACCAAAAAGTTCCCTCTCTCCTTGGGAGAAGCAGCAGGCCTCTGACCTACACAGGTATGGCATTTGTGCTAAGGTAATTTTTTGGTGTCAATCAAAAAATATATATAAATCAGTAACTTAATACAATATAAATAGAAGTCCAGTCCAGTGAGTCCTGTGGTGGGTCAAATGTAGCAACGGAAGGCGTGCCTTTTGTCACCTAGGGTTTCAGTAGGGTTCTTTTCTTAACAAGTGGGGGAAATAAAAAGAGGGAAAAAATGAGCAAAAAATATAAATGAAAAGGAAAGAAAAACCACTGCAACCACCACCAACAAAAAAACCGGAACAATCCAGCCTGGGTGCCCCATGCTGCGTGTGGTTCCAGCACTTGAACATTGGTTCCAGTGGCACTGTCGAGAATAAGCAGCAATAATTCCCTACATGTGTTTGCATGTTTGTGTTCTTTTGTTTGCTTTTGAATTTTTTTAATCCACATACTCCTCTCCCGGGGAAGCCAACGAGGCACTTACTTGATGCTCCCGTCACTATTTTCTGCTGCTGCTGTGGCTTTGGTGAGGGGCGCCAGAATACTGCCCGGGACCCAGCCCTCAGCTGCGGGGGAATGGTCGCTGGCAGGCTGGAACACCAGGCACATGTTCTGCTGGTTGACGGCAAGGACCTGGACCACCTCACCTTGGCTCACACAGATTTCATTCTCCTTCAGTGCATAGTAATCTTTGATCACAGCCATGGAGGAGGTCCCATTGCAGCCTCCCAGGTCGTTCTGTTAGGGGACAAGGGTGAGGGGGACACAAACACAAGAAGGCTGATTCACAGGCTTGCTCTGCACCCTACTGCCTCGTTAAAGGGCAAATCTCTCACAAGCAGGGTAAATAGCAGGCAGAACACTTTCTTGAGTAATGGTATCATATTCATAAACATGCTCTGAAAGTCTTTTTTTATAGCAGTGTTTCATACAGTATTATAATCAAGGGTGAAGAGGTAGAGATACTGCTCCAGCCCAGGTAAAGGTATAAACACACCTTTGACCTGGAAGCCCTGTCCTAGCAGGCACCATCTTGCCAGCATCCTCTTACTAGTGGAAGGAAGAACCTGACACTGGCACAGGGATACATACATAAGCACCTGGACAGAATGAGGTCAGGGCAAAGGTCAGGTCAGGGGTCACAATCCTCCAATAGAAAGAACACAGATCCTTTGATATATTTTTTTCCTTTTGAAAAAGCGTTGGTCTTACTCAACATTTTGACTCTCCTTGAGAAAGGAGTAAGAATGACATCTCTGCCTAATTGAAAGGCAAGGCCATGACCTAGCCTGACCCAACTCTGTGTGGGAAGAGAATTCCTGTAGTCCCCTCATCCCTCCCCAACTACCCACACTAATTAACTGGAGAGATGCTGCCTAGTGACCTTTACATGTGTGTCTACACCAGGGCAGCTGCTTCTTTTTTTTTTTTTCCTTTTTTTTTCGTGTCCGACAACGGATCGCAACCCTCAGTGTCGCGCCTGTACCAGACCGGGACCGACAACGGGATCGCAACCCTCGGTGTTGCGTCCGCACCTCGCTCAGCCAGTGAGCGGGAACCAGTCTGTATGTGGGATCCGAACCCTCGGCGGGAGCGCCGCCGCGCTCCCAAGCGGCGCACTGTAGCAGTGCGCCACCGGGCCGGCCCAGGGCAGCTGCTTCTTGACAGACCTATAACTCCCAAGGAGGCCTGGCTGCCTCACAGAGCACAGAGAGAGCTAGAAATTCTTCAATATGTTTGACAAGATGCCAAAGTGACTTCAACTTATTTACAAGGACAGGGGTTTTTAAGGAAGAAAATCATTTCCAGGTGACATGATGAAATAAGAGCATACTTCAAAAAGTTCATGAAAAAATAGTACAAACCTTTTTTTTAATAGTTACTATCCAAGTTTTTTTTTTTTTTCCTTTTTGTCTTTTTTCGTGACCGGCAACGGATCGCAACCCTCAGTGTTGCGCCCGTACCGGACCGGGACCGGCAACGGGATCGCAACCCTCGGTGTTGCGCCCGCACCTCGCTCAGCCAGTGAGCGGCCGGTCTGTATGTGGGATCCGAACCCTCAGCGGGAGCGTTGCCGCGCTCCCAAGCGGCACACTGTAGCAGTGCGCCACCGGGCCGGCCGTTACTATCCAAGTTTTAATCCTTCTCTTTTATTTTTATTTTTTTACAATTCACCTATTTATTTAACTTCTCAGTATACATTGTAGTTAATTTTCATGACCCTTTACCCATTCCTTGTCCCCCCCCCCGTTCCTCCCCCACATCATATCTGTTCACTTGTCTTAACATGTTCAAGAAATTGTTGTGGTGGTTGTGTCTTCTTCCCCCCACACCCTTTATTTGTTTGTGTTTATTTATTTATTTTTAGCTCTCACCAATAAGTGAGAACATGTGGTATTTATTTCTCTTTCTGTGCCTGACTTGTTTCACTTAATATAATTTTCTCTAAGTCCATCCATGTTGTTGTGAATGGTAGTATTTCATTCTTTTTTATAGCTGGGTAGATTTCTATTGTGTAGATATACCACAGTTTCCTTATCCACTCATCTGATGATGGACATTTGGGTTGGTTACAACTCTTGGCTATTGTAAATAGAGCTTCAATAAACACTGGAGTACAGGTATCCCTTTGGCATGATGATTTCCATTACTCTGAGTATATTCCCAGCAGTGGAATAGCTGGGTCATATGGTAGATCTATCTGTAATTGTTTGAGGAACCTCCATACCATTTTCCATAACGGCTGCACCATCTTGCAGTCCCACCAACAGTATATGAGCGTTCCTTTTTCTCTGCAACCTCTCCAGCACTTATCAATCTCAGTCATTTGGATATTAGTCATCCTGACTGGAGTGAGATGGTATCTCAAAGTGGTCTTGATTTGCATTTCCCCAATGCTGAGCATTTTTTCATGTGTCTGTTGGCCATTTATGTATCTTCCTTTGAGTAATGCCTATACAGCTCCTTTGCCCATTTCTTTTTTATTATTTTTAATTTTTTTTTAATTTTTAATTTTTATTATTTTTAA